GTGATGCACTCTAATAGTTTCTTTATTTTCTTCTCTCCCTTCCTTCTGTGCTGGTATTGATCTTGTTCTGGGACTTTGTGATCCAGAGTGCACAACCTACCTTATCCATAAACTTAGATGATAATAGTACCTACTTCTAGGAAATATTGTCATAAGTAAACCTTTGCCATAATGATTGCTCTAGAGCCTCACACACCTAATAGTTTAGTACCAGCACAAAATGGATGCATCCTTCCTGTCTCTTCAAAGCTTAATGCTACTGCTGCTACTCTACACCACAAAATGCCTTTACTTCACAGTTGCCAGCCAAAAAATATGTATCTATATCTGTATAGAGATAATAGTAGAAGCAATAGTAATACAACTTCTTCCACACTTCCACTTACAAAATCATGAATAAGTACTTGTGATTGGCTAAACCAAAATTACAACTGTAACCCTATTGTAAGGGAACCTAGGATATATAGTTTTTAGCTTTCCTGCCTCTGCAGTACAGAAAGGAATATTTAAAAAACTGCAGAATGGATGCGGTTTCAGTTAATTTTTGTTGTGTAAAAACCTAGTGGGTTAAAATTATTGTTTCTCACAGTTCTGTGATTTGACTGCTCCATGTGGTATCAGCTGGAGTTACTCTTACAAGCTAAATTTAGCTGGGAGCTCAGCTAGAGCTCTGAGTTCTCTACATAGTCTGCCTCTTTGTGTGTTTCTCATCTTCCAGGTTTGTACGCGTGGTCTCTTCTTTCTTGGATAGTCTGGTTTTCTTAAGTGTGGCTGCTAGGTTCCAGTAGGAAGCATTCCAGCCCCGGTGTGCAAGTGGTTATCAGGCCTCTCCTTGCTTTATCTTTGTTAATGTCCTGTTGATCAAAGTAAGTCGTGAGCTCAAACCCAGAGTCTTTGTAAGAGAGGACCAAACAAGATGAAAATATTAGGAGACATACTATGGTAGGTAGCCTCCAAGATGGCCCTGAATGATCTTCCTTTCCTTATATTCCAGCTGAATAGGACTCTCCTGAGTAATTAATAAGCTATTGTGGAAATGAAAGTATATGCTTTGTGAGGGTAGGTCATAAAAGATTGCCATTTATGGGGCGCCTGGGTGGCTCTGTTGGTTGAGCATCCGACTTCAGCTCAGGTCATGATTTCCCGGTTCATGGGTTTTAGCCCTGCATATTAGCTGCTGTGCTGACAGCTCAGAGCATGGAGCCTGCTTCAGATTCTAGGTCTCCCTCTCTCTCTGCCCCTCCCCCACTTACACTCTGTCTCTCAAAAATGAATAAATATTAAAAAACAAAAAAAAGATTGCCGTCTACAGCTTGCATTCTTGTGTCACTACTGGGAGAAAGCTAGCTGCCATTCCATGAGGACACTCAGGCACCTGTCCAGAGAGCCCCTATAGAGAAGAACTGATGCCTTTTGCCCAAAGCCAGTAGCCACTTACCAGCCATGTGAATGATCTGCCTTCAAAACAAATCCTCTAGGTTTGTCAGGCCTTCAGATGATTGTAGCCTTGATGGACTACAGTTTCATGTGAGAGTTCAAGCAAAACCACCTAGCTAAGTCACTCCGATTCTGCCTCCACAGAAACTGTGTGACAAATAAATGTTTGTTGTTTTAAGGCATGGAGTTTGGGGGTATTTTGTCACATAGCAGTAGATGACAAATACATATACTTTTCTCCTGACATATATTTTTTGATGACTCCCATTTCATGTATAATAAAATATAAAGCTCTTTAGTTACGGCATTTAGGAGTACGGTTTGCCTTTTTTACTTTAACTCTCACCTGCAACTGAATTTGCTCAGATTGCTTCAGAATACTTAGTAAGATATTTCTAAATGACTTCAAAGTTTGGCTGAATTAGCTTTGAAGGAGTCATCAACCTTGTGAGTGAGACATTCATTTACTGGCTACCTCTTTTTTTTTTTTTTTTTTT